AACTAACCAGGACGGGAAGAAGACGAGTCCACCAAAGTGGCGAGAAGACACGTACGATTTTATCTTTAGTTTGTTTTTGTTTTGTGGGTTTTTCTCCCTTTTTTTTGGTCTTGTAAGGTGAGCGGCGACGGACGGACGGACGGAGTTTCAGTCTCAGGCAGCGTCTGTCGGTCCGGAGGAAGGCGGAGACACAAAAAAGCAAAACTTTGCACGTTTGAGCTTTAACAGCATGTCATTTAATACCCCGTTTATTTCCCATCAGCCCTTTCACCTCAGCGTCTGACGTCGCAGCTTTTCTTCTTCTGTTCTGCTCATTTGATCACTTTTACTCTTTTTTTTTTTTTTGTACACGAGTCATTTAGTTTAACTCTTTCTGCTCCTCGCTGCTGCAGGACGTTTGTCGGGACTCTCTGCAGGGTTCCTGCTCTGCTGCTAGGGGGCGCTGTGGGGCTTCACACTGACGTCTGGGTGTTTTTAAAGATTACATTTCAGCTTGTTTTCAGTTCATTCATTTAGATTTTAGACATTTAGCTTTACCCCCATTTGAAGAGGTCAGAGGTCACGGCATCGTAATTCTACCTACACTGAAAAACATCTATAGCCTATAACCTCCTCAAGTCGTTCTGTCTGTAAACGAGTCAGTTTCTTTAAAAAAACAAAACAAAACAAAAGGAGAATATTTCACAATATTGTTTTACTCAAGAAAGAGGAGAACAAGAGAGAGTTTTGCGCTCGTCAAGAGAAATAAACGCGTTTTTCAGAAGGACTCTGTATTCACCAAAGACAAAGAAAGAGTGGAGACATTTACCACAAATTTATTGTCTTAAGAAAACATGATAATGAGAAACCTTTCCTGATAGCAAAAAAATCATAATTAAAGTAAAAGTAAAGAATATTGTCTATCAAGAAAATCAAGAGATTGTTTTCTTGAAGTAATGAAATACAATTATATGAATACATAAAGAAGTACAAAAATATTTATTATTAAGAGATAACAAATGTTATAATTAGAAGTAAGACATAATAGGAAAAGTATCTTATAATCACAAGCAAACCAAAAATTACTGAGAAAAAGAAGTGATTTTTTCATATTAAAAAAAAAAAAATTCAATATGTGAAAATGCATAATGACAAGAAAAGTGTATCATGTGTGAGAAAAGTTTTCTTGTAATTATAACATTGTTTTTGTGTAATGATAGGTAAATATATGAGTAAACATTTACATAAATATTTTTAATTTATAGAAAACAACTTTACAATTAGAATAAAGTAATAACAGGAAAAGTATCTTATCACAAGCAAACCAAAAGTTACAGAGAAATATATGTTCATAATCACAAAAAAAATGAGAAAACAATGTGAGAAAACTGGCATTTTTCTTGTAATTATAAAATTTTCTTCTTCTCATGACGTAACGATTTTATCTTGTAATTATAAAAAATCAATTATAAAAAATTCCAAATGTTTAAGTTTGAAAGACAGATCGACCTGCTGAGACCAGATGTTTTTACAGATCAGCTGATTTTAAACAGATTTTATCATCATCAGTGTGTTTGGGGTCGTGTGGTTCGGAGCGGCGCCCTCTACGCCGCGAGTTCGAACCCGCCAGACGTCCGTCAGTGTCTTACCATTAAAAGCGATGTCGATCATGCGACGTGAGTCGTGAACCTGCAGACGAGCGGCCGCCTCCAGGTGTCCGCAGGTGTGTCCCGAACACGCAGACGGTTATTGTACAATGAGATTTTGACAGATATTTAACCCTCGGTAAACTGCCTATTTTGTTATAATAAAGATGTTTGATCCTGACGTTCCTTTTAGGATGTTAGGACCGATAACACAGATTTAATCTTCCACATTAATCCAGTAACTCCAGTACATCGTGCTGCTGTTTCAGGTTTCTTTGTATAAAATGGTAAATGTTCAGGAGCTGTTCAGTGTGTTGCCCAAGAACCCTTCAAGAATGAGGACGTGAGGAGCTGGGACTCAATGTTAATCTGGATACTTTATATTAAGGTGATAAGTCATGTGACTAATTGATGGACTTTATCAGCAGGAAACAGTTATCACAAGGTTGATGGTTTAACACAAACGTTAATGTATAAAATAGTTTCATTTTTTGTGTATCTCCTGCTCATAAACATGTTTTTAGTTTCCAGAATCATTAATCATATTTGAATCCTCCATACACGCCAATGTTAGTCATGGAGTCCCACAAGGATCTGTGCTCGGACCAATCCTGTTCACCTCATATCTGCTTCCTTTAGGCAATATTATCAAGAAACACTCCATAAACCTTTATCATTATGCAGATGATACTCAGTTATATCTATCGATTAAGCCAGATGAAACTAATCAGTTAGCTACACACCAAATATGCCTTCAGGATGTTAAAACCTGGATGACCTGTAATTTTCTAATGTTAAACTAAGTTATTGTTCTAGGGCCCAAGGACGCATTATCTAAAGATATAGTTTCTCTGGATGGCATCGCCCTGGCCTCCAGCACCACTGCGAGGAATCTCTGAGTTATCTTTGATCAGGACATGTCGTTTAAGTCTCACATTAAGCAAATTTCAAGGAATGTCTTCCTACATGATATTGCAAAAATCAGGAACATCCTGTCTAAAAATGATGCAGAAAAACTAGTCCACACATTTGTTACTACTAGCCTGGATTATTGCAATTCCTTATCATCAAGCATCAAGTCCCATAAGAGTCTCCAGCTGATCCAGAACGCTGCAGCACGTGTTCAGACAAAAACCAGGATAAAAGATTATATTTCCTCTGTTCTAGCTACATTTAAAATCTTACCAAGAGAAATATTTCAATGTAAAATCTTAAGTAAACGTAGAAATGCTACAGTGTATATATCTTACTGAAGTAGAAGTAGAAATACTACAGTTTAATACTTCATTACAGCCAACTGAATATCCACACAGTAATACAGACGGTAAAGGTAGTAGTGGTGCAGACTGAAAATAAATAATTGTACTGATATTTATAGAACTAGTAATAATAATAATTGTATCAAAGGGAGTCGAGTAGGAACATGTTAGCAGCAGGATTAATTTGTCGTATGATGGAAGTAGCATTTGGTTTAAAATAATTTGTATAAATAATAATAGAATGAGTATGTAGTATAATAGAAGTAGTAAGTAGGATAGATGAGTATGTTGTGTAATAGAATGAGTATGTAGTATAAAAACAGTACAATAGAAGTATTATGAGGTATAATATATCTGAAGTTTCTCGTCCAGTTCATAGTTTTCCAAGGAAGGATAAAATCACAAGCCAATTGGACTTTGTTGAAGATACTTGATACTGGTTCGTTAGTGCTCCTGGTGTCTTCACCTGAGGCCAAGAGGTTACGTTTGTTTTTTTCCTATGAAGTGCTGAAAGGACTGCATTGTAAGTGGTGGTTTAGACCCACTCCTCTGTTCAGAGACGGTTTCTCCACCCCTGTGTAAATGGCTTCCTTGACACCTCTTTCAAAAGATCGTCCTCTCTGTCTTAAATGTGCACCTGGTGGTCCTCAAACGAGTGTCCTCTGTCCTTCAGGTGTAAGTAAACTGCAGAGTCTTGACCTGAGGAGTTTGTGTAGTGGTTGTTTAGTTTCCCCAACGTACAGGTCTGTGCATTCCTCACTGCATTGGACCGCATACACTAGATTGCTTTTCATGTGTTTGGGTATGTGGTCTTTGGGGTGGACCAGTATCTGTCTATGACAACTAGCTTGTGTTCCAGTGGGTGGTTGGAATCAAAAAGTAGGTATTGGTCCATGTTTGTGGGTTTCCTGTAAACTGTTGTGGACATCTTCTCGTGTGAACTTGATGTTACTGTCCACAGAGTCGATGTGTTCTGTGAAGGTTTGCACTTCCTGGGTTTTAATTTTGACACGTGTCATCCACATACCTGTACCAGTGGCTCGGTGCTGTTCCTCTGAAGGAGGTCAGGGCTTTGTTCTCCACCTTCCATGTAGATGTTAGCCACAATAGGTGATACTGGTGAGCCCATGGCACAGCCATACAGTACAGAATACAAAATTGGTATGTAGTATAATATCATTAAAATGGAGTATAATAGAATTATTGGAGCATAATATTAGTATGTAGTGTGTATTTGGGAGTACTGCTGCTCTCTAGTGGCTACAACAATGCACTGCTTTACTTATGAGGCCTTTTACTGCTGCTGCTGCTTCAGCTCCTGTTACCAAGCCCTTCCTGAAATACCTCAACAACGATTGGATGGATTGTGATGAAATGTGTTTCTGTTTCCGGCTCTGACAAAGAAGCCTTTAGTCATGTTTGTATGAGGACTTGTTGGCTCTCATCAACACCAAGTGTAAACTGTAAAGTTCACCTTTGATGGCTAAAATCCCCATAAATAAAGTCCATGGACGTGACCTCCAGGTGGGTCGTCATTGTTGGTCTCTGGGCTCAGTTCAACTCTGTGTGGGTGGAGGGCTCAGTGGAAAAAAGGCTTCCAGACAACAAGAGAAAAGACAAACAGCTACAGAGAGGGAGATGAGTTGATGAGTGTGTACAGCAGCAGATATGAATCTGTTCTCAGTGGTTATTAGGACTCATAAAAAAAACTGTTGACAGACAATCAGCACTTCCTTTCCTGCAGCAGTGTGGGTTTCTGCTCTGCAGCCTCCTCACCGCTAGCTGCACTTTTTCACATTAATACCACAATGACAGTTACAACCGTCAAATCATTCTAGGAAGTTCAGTTTGATTTCAGCGCTCAGTACTCACTGTCTCAGTTTTGATCTGTTATTAATCTGTGAGAGAAACAGCTCAAATCCTGAACTCAGAGCTGAGAAGCTGAAATAAAAGGAGATATGTTCAACCACCTGCAGTCTGCTCTGATCCCACTTTATGACCTCACACTGATTCTAACAGGTAGTCAGACAGCAGAGTGTTCACATGGGAATAATAACTAAACAACGTTTCAAAACGGCAGCGGGCAAAATAAAAAGTTAAGCAGCATTTTATTGGTTTAGAAGAAATAAAAACAGCCATCATGTTGCCGACAGTCAGTCTTCAACCCGACTGATGGAGCTGCTGTGGGATCATTTTATAACAGTTGTAGCTTCACAGCAGCTCTGCTGTTTGTTCATGTGTGTAAACAACAGTGTCATCAGCGTAGAGTTTTACATCCACACTGACACAATTATAAAAGGGGTTCACCACTGAACCTGGTGGCACACCCACACTTGCTGACTTGTATATAACAGCTATATGTTTATGTTTGCTCATCTTTGTTTAGCTTTGTTGTCCTTGTTTAGCTGTGTGCTTATATTCATATCTTCATGTACATTTGTTCTTGGCGCTGTGTGAAAGTATATTGTGAGCTGCTTACAACCTGAGTCAAATTACATGTAGCTGTCAACTCACATTACCAATGAAGTTAACTATTTGCTATGAGACCAACCCGAAATCCATAAAAACAAGGATGTTTATAAAACCCAGATGCTGTGATTTTTTTAGTTTATTGAGAAAGTTACTCTAAAAGAATTCTACCACACTCTGCATAATGTATTAAAAAGAGAACAGAAAAATATTGTAAATGATAAAATATCTAGCAGACAGCTAATAATTCAGTTACATTTTCTACAAGAGGAAATAAACTAGATGATCAAAATAACACTATACCACAGAATTTACACTCAGTAACTGCAAATATATGTGTTTATATTTTTTGAAGACTATATCTAACCTGTGCACAACATAACATTTCTGAGTGGTGATCACTGAGATGAATTGATGAGATCTGATGTTGAGAAAAGGCTAGCAGAAAACAGTCAGTCAGCATGTGTGCAGCCGGTGGACGGTCCCTTGTTTCTGAGGATTCACAGCAGAGGGAGTCCACAGCAGTACACCAGACTCTTCACTATCAGCACTGTGTACAGCAGCCAGAGCAGCTTCACCCTGCACTGAGACTGGAAGGACACTGACAGACAGACAGAGACATCAGAATATCATTAGTATACTTTGGACCTTCCAGGTGGGACGACATGAAGACGGGTCGGCTTCAAAGTCCCATCTGATTCTCTCCTTTAAAGTTAAGAGCTACAATTAACTTTCTAATTCACAACTAACTACAATTTCTGACGATTAAAGCCCCTTAAGGATCAAACAGAAAGTCCATATTTAAAAAGAAACAGGTTATTATGAGGTTGAAGTCGGACTAGTTGATTTTTACATGCAGCCCTAACTGCAGCAGAACATTGGAGCTGTCTATGCAGAGAGGCAGCAGGTGATCTTACAGTCAGCTTGCTGCAGAGCTGCCAGGTCTGCTGGCTCTCTCTCTGGAGGACAGGAGGCCACCGGAACCTCTGAAACAGAAAAGGAGTCAGAAAGAAATGTCAGTCCTCTGCTCCTCTGCTCTCTTTGACAGCGTCTCCACATGAAGCTGAATCTCTGCTGAACACAGTCACCAAGCCTTCATTACCTTGTTCTGTTTGGGCCTTCACTCCCCCCCCCTCGTGCTGGACGTAGCAGCGGTATTTATACATGGAGAGAGCGTCCCGATCAATCACTCTGATGGCGGCGGTGCGTCCCGAATCTCTGAGCTCCAGCTGCACCTCCTCGGCAGGTGCCTGCTCCTCCAGAGACTCGTTCACCTTTCGTCTTTTCCAGGAGAAGCGGACCACAGGAGGAAACATGTTTGAGGCCACACACAGCAGGGAGCTCTTCCCCTCATGGTGGGCTCTGGATGCTGCTGGGTACACGCTCACCACAGGCTTCACTACCGGGTTATCTGAAGTTTGACAGCAGCAACAAGCAGCACAGACACACATTCACACAGTCAACAGCAGCTTCCAGCACTGCATTCAGTCTGATCCTGGAAACTACATGGACTCTGATCACTGAGCTCCTCATCAATACAGCACACAGTTCACTACATGGACTGGATTCACCTTCATATCACACACGTCATGTATAATAATAATAATATTAATATGTTATATGAGGAAAGAAAAGAATTATTATTTAGCAGTTCTACATATGCTGGATTCTTATAATATAATTATGAAATACCCCTTATAAACTTAATGTTTTATATATTAGGGTTAATAAACATATTTTAATAAAGGTATTTTTTACGTTCACATTAAATTAGTTATACTTTTACATTTACTTAGACATTATATATCATATACTTTATTTTAACGGCAAAAAATCTAATTGTTGCATCAGTAATTTCATAAAGTTTTAAAATTAAAAAAATTCTATATAAAACTCAATTTACATATATGTTCAGATACATGATCGAAAGTCTGATGAAACAACAATACTGTAATCTAAGTACATTTTAATGTAACATAATATCAAACATTACATAAGAATCAAAACTACTGTTTACATGTTAGGGTAAAAATACATATTACACCAAATTACATATTTACTTCACATAAAATAATTTCATGTCAAGTCACGTACATTATTTATAATTTCTGAACTTGAACCACTCAACAACTAATCAATACATCAATAATGTCTTTGTTTAATATGTTAATATGTCAGCTTTATAATATTAAATAAGATTCACTATTGACTGATTACTTTTTAATATAATGTAATAATGTGATGTTAAAATTATAAAGAACCTGATACATCATTTTTACTACCATCTACTTTTGAAAACATGTTTTATAATTTAAATTATAAAGCATCACAAACTATTTGTATTTATATTAAAAGTATAAAATGCAAATATATTTGTGTGAGCTACTTTATGTCACTCTATTTCACATACCGGTATATAAATACATAAATGTAAATTTTATCATTTAAAATTAATAAATTATCCTGTACAACATATTTATAGTAAAATGTCTTTTCAAAAACAATAGACTGCGCTGACTCACTGAGAGGATCAAATACTGTATATTTACAACTTTGTCAATATCTTACTTTTTCCATATGAATCAGTTTTGCTGGTGCAGAAATAAAGAATAACTTCAGTTGTGCAGTGAGATTTAAACATCTTTTCAGCAATTATCAACCTTTTTATGTAACAATAGCTGCACGGCTGTAAGAACTCTACTAATTATGAACAAACTAATATTTGAAGCCTGAAGCAGCAGAAACTCATAAAAAAACACATTTTAACTTGTTCAATACTGAAGGAAAATAAATGTTTATTCTTACCTGTTACATACAGTTTAGTTCCAGAGCCAAAGATATCGTAGTATTTGTTTGCTCCCACAGTGAAACAGAGTAATACAAAAACCTGTCAGCTGCTGAATGTGTCAGCTGAGGTGAACGAGTCCAGATGATGAACCAGGATCATATTTCAGCTGCATGATGTGTTTCTCTAATGTTCATATCAGCATTACTGTCTCTTCTTTTATTGTCTTTTTAGACACACTAGCAGTGTTGCTCTGTGCATGCTGATGTCTGCTGGTCCAGATGGACTGGACCTGGACCAAAGGATGGATGGATTGACATTGTTGTTCAGACATTCTTGGTCCCCAGAGGATTCACTTCATTAATTCACTTGGTTGATTCTGACTCTTCAGAAGAAGATGCAGATGTCCAGGCCCAGACTTCCTCTTCTGTGCTCTTGTCATTGTTTACAGTCCGATAAGCAATCTGAGAGCCCATCAGCTGTCATCTGATATAAAAGCTAATCTGAAGTTAAATATTCATCAGATGATAGCCGATGGTTTCTGCCTTATTTGCTCTCCACACGGACTGTTGACCTGCATGCAACCAAAACCAGCTCAGATTTGATTGGTCAATACTATTCGGACTACAAACAGAAACCACAACACATTCATATGCAGATATCTGTTTCCAGAGATTATTTCTGATCTGTATCAAGACTTTAAGGATAGACGGTGCTGTATGCTGTACAGATTGTAAAGCCTTTGGCGGCAAATTAATAATTTGTGGTATTGAACAATATCAATCAAACTGACTTGTTATTCCCATCAGCCTCAGCTGTACTTTATGGTAATTAGCAAATGGCAGTAAGGCAGTAGCCTGAATGAACCACTAAGTGACGCTGTTTTGAGTTCTGAAATGTGTGTCGTTGTAGGTGCTATGTTTTTAACGTTTAGTTGAAATCCTCGTCAGGTGAGCAGAGTTAACAGCAGCTGACATCATCATGAAATATCAGAACTAAAACCAAACACCCGTAACGCTCAGAAACAGCAGGTTTGAACCCAAAAGCACGACTCACAGGCAGACAGGTTGAGATGAAAGTTCACTTAACAAAAGGATTAAAACCAAGTCGACAGTCAGGACTTATCCAAAAAGGGGGCAGACAGAGAACCAAAGGCTGGACAGGAACAAACCAGACAATCTGGCAAAGCGTTGGTGGAAATGTGTCGTTATATATACAACCAGACTAAAGTCCAATTTATACTCCAATGGCGACTGAAAGTGAGCGGATCATGTTGGAGTTGGAGCTGATCGATGTTGAACAGCAGTTACTTTTAGTGAAATTACTCACTGAAACACAGAGACGAGAGAAGGCGTCTGAGGAGAGGTTTGTACGACCCTTAAACCGGTCGAGACAGAAGAAAAACGAAATGCGTAGGAGGAAATGTGATGCTACCAGCCGACCAATCACAGTTCTTGTGGTCTGCGACATGTAGTTAAATCTTTGGGCGTGTGCGTGTCAGGCCACTGTGCAGAGTATGCGGTGTTGAAGAAATATTGTGAGTCAGGTTCAGGTGTGAAGAAGTTTCAGAGACTGATGAAGACTTAACATAGCGTGGTTTATTGAGCCGGGCCGAGGAGACACAGCGCCAGCATACAACATGTGATCACGTCACATGCCAACACCAAATCTGAAGGAGAACATCTGGTGGTCCCTTTTATGTTTCTTTCTTCCCCCCAGTGCCTGTAGGTTTCTCTATTAGGTCTTCTTTCACCTACAACTGATCTATCTGATGTTTAGACTCCAATGCTTCGTCATATTGGAATCTCTCACTATCCATGAGTGGTTCTCTGATCTGTGGAGCCAGTGAGTTCTTGTAAATATTCTTGTAAGATTCCCAGAGAACACTGATATCTGCCAGCCTGACGCCTGAGCTACTGTCTCTAACTAATCAGTCTAAGTACATGTGAGAAACACCTAAAGCTAGAATGTCAGAAAACACTTATGGGGTCAGCTAAATTACTCTAAGCTAGAGCTGTCTTACTTTTCCCTGTCACATCAACAAAGCCCCTTAAGAAATATTCTCCACACGTGGCTATGCATAGGCTACAGCGTACCTAAGGAGGAGATTCGACAAAAAACTACAGATGGAAACATCTGAGGACACCTGGTGGACAGGTGGAGAAATGGGAATGAGAGGTGGGAATGTGTCTGAAAGGAAGGACAGAGAGGCAGAATGGAGAAACACAACTGAGTCAGACACTGTAACCCCCCTCCAGTTAATCTGTTCATGTTTGTGTTATTAAGATATTAAGATACACTTTGGTGTGGGTTTGAGTAAGAAGCACTCGTGTTTTGCTCTGAAGTGTTGGCTGTAATTTTTGCCAGCTTGCTGTGTACCGAGCATTTATTCTGTGGAAATAGTGCAGGATAAAACTTTAGCTCTATTTAGTTTTACCCTTATATTAACTTAGATTTATTTTTATGTTCATAATATTTTATTTAACTTCACAGACATCTTAATATTAAAAACATTTGTATTGTTTTTAGATAATTTTTTGCACTGAATGTTTTTTGCTATAAAGTTGACTTTGCACTACCTCGTTCCCCTTCGAGGGAACTCGAACTGCGTCGGTGACGACACTATGGGAACGCCTCTGGGCGTGGCAGGGCTGAAACCATGAGTGAAACTACTCCGATCCTATCGGCGTTGCTAGAACGGTAGCGTGTGACGGCGTAACTGGAGGCGTTATAAGCACGCCGGCACACCGGACACATTAGCTTTATTCTATTCGGCAACCACGAGAGGAAATTTCTTACCTGGAAGGAAGTCTGGCAGAGGAGATGGCTGGTGAGCAGTTCAGGCAGTGTGTTTCCCATGCCCGCGTCAACATCACGGCTGGGGACACTGGTGCCCTGTGTGCGTCTTGTCTGGGGATGCCGCACGCCCAGGCAGCTCTCGAGGGGGCCGCTCGCGGCCATTGCGAGGCCCTGCCCCTGAGGGCGCTGAGGTCCCGTGCGGCTCTTTTCTCCGAAGACGGCCGGATGCGCTCCCCGTGGCTCGGGCCCGCGGTCGCTGAGTCGGCGCGGTGGCTTCGGTCATGGGGCTCCCAGCGTGACGTCTCCGAGTGCATCGGGACTGCCGAGGCTTTTTCCCGTTCCTCGTCTGCTCGTCTGACAGAGAAGCTACAAAAAGAAATTTAACTCAGTGACACTGACGTTCCTTTTGGTGAAGCTGAAGTTGTTGGTGGGTAAAAAAACAAACTTTGATGCGATGCTTGTGCACCGGAGGAAAGGGGTCACCAGAGCTCCACCGCCTTCACAACCAATCTGCAGAAAGGGGCCTCCCTCCTGATCAGTGACGATGATGAAGGGGGACATGCCGACGCCCTGGATGACCCAGGTGTGATGATTAGGTGTAATTCCACATTGTACCAAACGTGTCAGTAGTGGTTTGTGGGAACAAGGGATTGATGTTTTAGGTACAGGGAGGCAGCAGAGGAAGTTGTTGTTGACTGGCTAGCACGAGGAATAAAGAAACCCATAGAGTTTGCACAAGAGTGGTCACAGTTTATTTTCATGAAGAATAATGAACAAAACATGGTACCAGGAGTAAAACCAGAACGAGGTGCACTGTGAACAGCGACATGGATTCGTTAAAGCCACCGGAGACTTTGAAAGTAACGGGGAATGTCGACAGCAATTGGCGCATCTTCAAGCAGCAATTTCAGCTGTAAATCATGGGTCTAGAGACGAAGTCTGATGCAAGGAAGGTAGCGTTACTGCTAACAATAGCAGGCCCTCAAGCCGTAGAAGTGTGTAATACCTTCGTATACGACAGTGAAGATGACAAAGACAACTTGATAAAGTGCTGGAAAAGTTT